AATTCAACAGAAACAAAATGAAGATGTTCACTGTGGGATTATCTATAATAAACCAGGCGGCAGCATGGCTGCTTCCTAATCAATGTTTGGTTTAATAATGTGTTCATTAGCAGGAGGGGATGAATGAGTCTCTGATACTCTACAAAAGAGCAGACTATAAAGTAATGTGAAACAACTGAATTATGCAAAGTAAAAAACAGTGTGGAATGTGGGCAGGGACTAGAGAATGCTCTTTTAGTGAGAGGCAACTATTAGCGTTGGGGTGGTGGAGGTATGGGGTGATTTTTTTCAAAAACAATTTTTTTATTTGGCTCTCTAGTCCAAATTCTTGAGAAGAGGATATTATTTGTCAGCCAGGACATGCCCGTTTCAGGAACTATGGGTTGAAGTTAAAGGGTCTGTAAATTATTTTATTCAGCACTTTCTTCGCCACATACATCCTGAGAGCCTACTGTGTGCTAGCCAGTACTACTCACTGAGGATACAGCCTGAGCAATTTGGCCCCTGGCCACATGGGACTTTGGTCACTTACACAAATAGCATTAGTTACCATTTCCTTAGCAGTTGCTGTCAGCCTCTGTGCTGAGTGCTTAACTTTCATCTCTTCGTTTAATCATCAGAACAGTCCTGTGTTATCATACCCATTTTACAGAATACAAAGCTAAGATACAGAAGGCTGAATAATCTGCCCAACCTTGTACGTTCAGGATTCAGACTCGGGTACCACTGCTCTCAGGCCTGCTCTTGGCCGCTCAGCCTCCCTAAATCACTCCTCTCTTCAGTGACCAGGAGTGTGGCTCACCTCCCAGATGCCCAAGAAGGTGCTGGTTCAGTGTCCTTCCTGCCCCAGAAAGAGCCGTTTGCCTAATTAAAGCAATCGCTACCCATTTTCGACTAGAGTACAAAAGCGGTCTGATAAGACAGCTCTAATTTTTCTCTTTCATTCTCTTGCGAATGTTTCACACTTTCTGCACAGGGAGGGCCCTCGCAGCTCTGAAAGCAGATTTGGGAACATGCTGGATGGGTCCCCTCCAGTCAGAGATGACAGCATCAGCCTGGATGTGTCGTTTTAGACGGATGTGTGTGCTTTAGGGAATAAGTGATTTGTATTTGAGAGAAATCACTCAGTGGCAAGTGACGGGAACTCCTCCATCAGTGTGCTCAGAGCGGTTCGATATTTTAGGGACACGGAGGCAAATAAGGGACCAGAAAACATGAACAGGGGAATAATTTAGAGCCTTCTGTCACTGTTTAGGAACAGTGACACTAAAAATTGTGTTCTAATGTTAAAGATATTGAAAATGTAAGAAATACTCAGAAATCGAAGTCCCATTGAGAAGAATAAATTGGGATTCTGATAATTGATTCCCATAATATTAAAAATAATAAAATAAGACCTTTGCTATATTTGCACATCAGCAGATTAATAACAGAGGTTTTCTTTCACAGGCCCACCAAGGGGCCCCAGAGGCACCTGGGGGGGGGGGGGGGTTTGAGCGTTAGATGAGATGAGAAGGGGCCCACAGAGCAGGGTGCGGAAATCAGAGATCTGAAAATGATGGCCGTGGATGGCTAACTGCTTCCATGTCTTCATTTTCCCCTACCTTCTTCCACTCTTCTTAAAGACTCATGATATTTTGTCTGGGTCATATTTTTATTTCCCTCTCCATGTTGATGACATCAATTAAGAAGCCTTGTGGCTGTTTCTCATCACTTCTCAATTTCTGCCTTTCCCCCAAATTCTTTGGGTTGCTTTTTCCTCATGATAGTCCTATGTGTGCTTGCTCCTTCCCCCACCACACATGCACACCCGGGGGTTAATGGAGTGTGTAACTGCTAATATGCACAATTAACCACGATTTATTTCTTTATTAAGTGAAGGAAACACTTCAGAGGCTAAACAGCTAAACTGAAGGAACATGTATACACTAAACTTTAAATGTGATCTAATTAGAAAGCAGTTTATGAAATATAGTCTCTGACATGTGTAGGTGATTTTCATTTTCTAATTTAAATTTATTTGAGTAGTTAATACATTCATGATTTTTAAAATCACATGATTCAAACAAGTTATAACTGAAACGTCTTATTCCCACTCCTCTTCCAGACCCCACCCCTATTTCTGCTTCCTACAGGTACTCAGTTTTAGTCTTTAAACTAAATATTAAAATATATTTTTATTGATTTCAGAGAGAGAGGGAGAGGGAGAGAGAAAGAGACACATCAATGAGAGAGAGAACCATCGATCGGCTACCTTCTGAACATCCCCCATTGGGGACCGAGCCTGTAACCCAGGCGTGTGCCCTGACCAGAAATCTAACCCGCAACCTCCTGGTTCATAGGTTGACACTCAACCACTGAGCCACGCTGGCTGGGCAGTTTTAGTTTTGTTATGAGTCTTCCCAGGGTGTCTTTATAAGAAAATAAACAAATGAGGATATATAGTTCTTTCACAAAAGTGAGTGTAATATAAATACTGCTGAACACAAATTGCTTTGCCATTTGCTCTTTTTCTCACTTAATATATCCCGGAGGCCTTTACATGTTAGTGCCCGCACAGCTTCCATGTTTGGAGGGTTGAGGTTGCTGCATGGTATTCCAGTGTACAGATACATCGGTGGATTTGACGAATCCCAGACTGATGGATTTCTTTGTTGTTTCCAGTCTTTTGCCATTAGAATAATGCCACACTGGCCTATGTAATCATGTTCAGCTATGGCTGTCCGAAAATTTTTTCAAAAGTCAGATTTCTGGTTCAGAGAGAAGTGCATTTGTAATGTTGAATGATCATGACAACTTGCCTTTCATAAGTTGTACTTTTTCACTCTCATCAACATTATTGGAGAATGATTCTTTCCCCACACTTTGGCCGATAGGGTGTGTTTTCAGACTTTTGGAATTTGGCCAATGCATAGATGCTAAAATGACATCTCAGTATAGTTTACTTCCCTTTCTTCTCATTGTGAATGAAGTTAAGAATATTTTCTTATGTTTACTAACCACTGTCTTCCCTTCACTGTAAACTGTCCTTTTGTGCCCTTGGTCATTTTTCTACAAATTTGTTTGTTTTCCCCTACCTGTCATCTGTAATATAGGTTGCAAATACATCTTCCCAGTTAGTCATTCATTTTGTTGTCTTTATTCCATCTGATTTCATTTCACTTTTCCTTTTCCTTTTTTTTTTGAGAAAATTGGTAACCTGCTTTGCATAGCATTGTGGAACTGTAAACATTACCTGCAGAGAGTCTTAATCAGTGGGGAAATCACAGTGGTTTCATGAGTTTACAAATTTTAACAGCACACATTACAAACTCCCTTACTGTTATAAATGTATACAGATGTGAAAAAATAAGAAAACTAACAATGTATTTAGTCCACTTGGCATTAGAAACATTTAATTTCTTTGTTAAAATCTTGTCCAGAGTAGTTGAAAAATGCTTGCACCTTCTCTGTGTTGTATACCTTACGATAAACAGTGAGCATCTTTCCTATGCATTGGTGAACTGTCACACCTCCTTCAAAGTTCAGGTCAACTGCCAGTATTTATTCTTTGATTTTCAGTGTCATGAAATATCTCAAAGAGTTCTTATAATGTGAGATTTTTGGCTGGCATACCTCCTCTGGGCCATCTTCATCCCTTTTGTCATAACCACTTTCCTCATTTATTTAGATCAAGTTCACCTTCACTCTGACCGCATTTGCCTCTCGAATGGGGCAACATTCCCATGGTCAATTATTGCTTCTATAAATCCATTTACATTGAATTCAAACTTCACTCCCACTGTTACCACTTTTAGTTTTTTTTCTGTACTTTTACCATTTTTGGCCAATTCCCTTTTAATTATCCTTTGTAAAATATCACATGGGCATATCACTGAGAGACTTTGCTGTCTGTACATGAACTGAATAACAGATGTGCAATGATCAGTCACCATTACATTTTGAGATGATTGATCATTGATCATGGTGAACATCAATTATTCTGGTAGAGGTATCTGAACTGAAGAGCTAGCCTCAGAGTTTATACTTAATGCCATTACTCACAGTTAAAACACTGTTAACTGGCATTTGAATCTTGGTTTTAGAGGACAGGCATTAACTAAACTGTAGTAACTTAAGTTTGTATATATCAGAAACATGCAAAGCAAGAACTGCCGGTATGGAAAAGCACAAAGAGTAATATGACAAACAACTGCACACTCATCTCTGAGCTTTGGCAGTTATTAACAATCCTTTATATATGCTTTAAGTACGTTAGTAAAGGAAATAGATCATTACAAATAAGGCTGAAGTCCTTCTTTGCCCCCTCCTCCCATCCTGTTCACTTTGTAATCTCCCAACTCATGTATCATTACCTCTCTCTCTCTCTCTCTCTCTCTCTCTCACACACACACACACACACACACACACAAACACACACACACACACACATTTCTATCTACACATATAAAAATCTCAATGAGAAATATGTAGTATTTGGGGTGTACTTTTAAATTTGCATCATAATTGTTTTTCTTTGATTGTGCTTTGCTTTTTGTATTCTTATTTACTTCTTGAATTAATAAAAATATTCTGTGCATCTCTTTTTCTCCACCCCAGTTTAGAAGTAATTTTCTATTTCATCCTATTTCTATTTAATTAGTAAAAAATAACATTTTAAAAGATGGATAGTTATATAGAGAAAGATGACATATATTTATATATTAAAACATATATATATATATATCCACATACATATCTATCTATCTATCTATCCATATATATCTATCCATATATATATATGTGTGTGTATATATATATACACACACATATACATATATATCCATATCTATATATATGACTATTATAGAGTGATGACCTGCTCTTGTTAAGAATTCTGGGAACTTCCCTGCTTCCCTCCATGAAAATAGCCGAAGTCCAGAGATACCCATGTGGGTTTTGTAATATTTCTGTAGCCATCTTTCTGATACATGTAACAACCATTCCTGTTTGGCTTCCAGGTTCATTCAGGAAGTTGAGCATGCCTTGGGACTTGGGCCAGCCAAACAGTGTCCTCTCCGAGAGTTCCTCACTGTGTACATCAAAAACATCTTTCTCAATCAAGTCTTGGCTGAGATCAACAAGGAGATTGAAGGAGTCACGAAAACATCAGATCCCCTGAAGATCCTGGCCAACGCAGACACCATGAAGGTGCTGGGTGTGCAGCGCCCTCTGCTGCAGGTAAGGATATGCTTTGAACTTACTGTTTGTCAACAGTTCTCATGGCCTTCGCAAGAGTCTTAAATTAAAAAACAGAAGAAGAATTGCCATCTGTTTTTATATTCACTGGGGACAAAACAAGAGGAAATAAGTTAAATAGGTACTAAGGACATTTAGGACTAATATAGAGATAATGGAAATTCCTTAGGATCTTTAAGAAAAATGTGGATAGCTTTGAATATGGTAGAACGCACATCTCATTAACATGCAGGCAAGGCCTCCTTATTTGCCTGGAATTTGCCCTTGCTGGGACTTACAGGAAGGAAATCACCCTGCCTAACAGATGCCCACCGAAACCCCCGTACCCATCCATTGGAAGACAGATGCTGTTAAGGACTTGGCCAGCGCACAGTGAACTTGAACCTACCAGCAAACTGGCTTTTCAAAGTCATACCATTTCGTTTAAGTGATGGTCTTGTTAATATTGAAACTTTTACTTTAACTATATAAAGAAATGGTTTCTGGGCAGCAGACATAAAATAATTTCTCAGTAGATATGTGGATTCATAGGCTTGAGGTATTTATTTTGTATCCATTTTATCCAGGGACATAAAGACAAATATAAAACTAAAAGAAAATAGTATGAGTTTAAATTATGGCTGTACATTGATTGCTATTACAGTTGTAATTGAAATGGAATCTTCCTGGCGTTTTTTTCACTTAAGAGAGAAAAATGTTTCTTCATTTTTTACCCAAGTTGCATGATATGAGGATATCTCCAAATGTGGAAGGCTTTCACTCTTCAAAGAGAAGTTGTACCAGTGGAAGGAAGCTACAGTTGCTTTAATGGCTGCCCTTACCCACCTTTGTGTATAGCTTTCTTGATTTTTCCTTCTGTGCACATTAGAATTGATAGCCTTTCATACGTAGTGTCCTAGATAGGAGCATTCTCGTTTATGAGCAGACTCTTCCATGGTGTTGAGAAAATTGAGTAGCGACATTTGCTTCTCCCAGAACTTGAATTATAGCATCACACCGAGGAGTGGGTTCATTCAGATTGTCGGGGTCTGTGTGACGTGGTTCCTGGTGAGGGATGTGTACTGAGCCTGGCCTAGAGAAGGGAGAATCACAGAGGCTCGATGGCTCCTCCACTGGCTCTGTGCAGGGCTGGGACCTTCTCCTCCTTGAGTCTCAGTTCAAATGTCACCTCCACGAAGAAGCTTTTCCTGACTGTCCCACCTAAGTAGGTCCCCTTCTCTGGTTATTCTCCATTCTCCCCTCCTCCATCCATGTCCCCAATCCATTCTCAACACTAAAGTCAAACTCTGTGGACAATATCACCAAAGCTCCCTTTCCAGGAGGCTCGGGATCAGGTTGCACTAGGAAGCACTAGCAGCAGGTAGGAGGGTGGGAGGAGGAGGTTGGGTTATTTCTTACTTCCTTCCTCTCCACGCTGGATCATGGTGCTGGCTGTGGGCACATCCCTGGGCAACAGTCCTGCCCAGTGACCCTTCCTCCAGAGCTGCAGCTCTCAATGGACTCTGGCTACACCCTTTCTTCTCCTTGCCTTTGATCACTGCTCTCTACCATTGCTGGTTTCTGGTACCAAGACAGCTCTTGTTGCTTCTGTCAGTGCTGCCCACACCCCTGGGAGTATCTCCTCTTTAATATTTCTTCATTTGAATCATCTGAATGGAATTCTCTTTTTTTGTTAGGATCCCAAATAGATTTCCCCATCTAGTCACTATTTTAACACTTTGACTATGTTTTTTCCTTCTTAACACAACAACTGTAATTATTATTTCATTTATTTTCTAACTTGTTTATTTTTTGTCTTTTCCAACTACAATGTAAGTTCTAAAAGCCTAATACAGTACCAGGCAGCAGGAAGGCACTCAATAAATAATTTACTGAATGAATGCATACAAGCATGGATAGATGGAGGGAGAGAAGGTGGATAGACACAGAGAATAAGTTTTGAGATTCATAAATAATTCCATAGTTGGGGAAAAGATAAGAAATAGAGACTGACACAGACTTGTTAATATTTTTTGTTGTTGTTTGACATTAACTTCCTCTCTGTCAGAACACCTCTCAGCATCTGTGCCCCTACAGTGCCACGCTCTCTGCTGTACAGAGCACCTTCGGTGTGCTTGGTGTACTGAATTTAAATGACATTTACAGCAAGGTCCCTAGAGTGAGTCTGTGAACTAAAGATGCTGGCTTATTAAACATTACTGTTTTCGGCTTGAGTGGCAAAGACACATTCAGACTCATAACTAGTTGACTGCTATCTGGGCCATGTCAGGGCCACACACTGAATTATATCTCTGGGCAGTCTCCCCATATGCTTGTCAAATCCCTCCCAACCTCATCACCAGCCCTTTGCACATGTCACTATGCCTCTTAAATGTTGTGTGGTTTTCCCTCTCGTTCCTTAAATCAGTAACTCCATTCATTCTGAGGCCAGATAAGAACTCCAATTTGACCTATTCTCTCTTTGACCTAGTCACAGTGTGGTAATTTCATGTGAGTGAGTGAGTCTTGAAACTAGGCCATTCACGTTAGTAATCTCCAAATTTGTTTTTATAGCCAAAACACTAGCTTTCTTATTTGGTTGTTTCTTATTTGGTGGTTTTGTTGCCCTCTCTTTCTTCATAAAATTTTTATTTTATGAGAATGCAAAATCATTAGGCCATATTAATAAATTTGTTTCATAGTCTCAGATTTTGGAGATTTAGGAAGGAAATGGAGTGATGTTTATTCTCCTTTCAGATCTTGAGCTTTTGTCTTGCTTTAAAATGACCGTAAATTGTTTTCTAACAAAATTTCCCAAGCTCAAGTTTCAATATTTCTCAAATGCTTCTCTGTCACCTGGATATTGTGATCCCCAGCCAATTGTAGGTGACGAATCTGAAGAAAAAGTAAGAAATAATTTTGAAAATTTTAAGCTGAGTTTCCAAAACAGCTGTCAAGAAGGGAGCTTGGGGAAATCTGTGCATGTGTGAAAAAATGCAGGTGGGTGAAGCATTCAATTACATGAAGTTTTAAAATGTCCTTCAAAGTCACTCCGTCTGTTAGACTGTGGTTTGGTTGCCCAGCATCAGGCAGCACCAGCCCAGCTGGGTCTCAGGGTGCATGGAGGACAGCTTCCCGGGGCTGCTGTCACCTGTGATGAGGTGCAGGTGCAGGGACCCCGGACACTGCCCTCCCCTCTGGAATGGCATCTGGGTAGCACAGAGAGTCCATTACAGGGGCAGTTTCCATGGGCGATCGTGTGCCTTCACATGGTGATTTCACTTTCTTGGCACCGAATTCATAGAAGGGAAGGAAGCAATAGAAGGGAAGAGATTACAAACACCACTTTATAGGTGAAACAACTGTTCAAGTGTTGACCCAAAATGATACAGAGCACAGTACCAGTAGTAATAGAAGTAGCAATAATAGTAATAGTTGTAGACAGAAGTAATGATCACAGCTAACACTTTAATAGCATTTTCTGTGAGCCAGACACTATCCTGAGTGCTTTATGTTTTGACTTGTGTTTTCTGTATATGAGCAACAGCTTTGTGGGGAGGAAACTGAGAAACAGTGAAATTCAATGGCTTGCCCTTGGTCACATAGTGTGCAATTGCCAGCACTGTAATGCAAACCCAGGCGCCTAACCCTGGAGGCCACGCTCTGAGTGAGTTCTGCCCAAATCCGAGCCTGAGGAACAAGCTTGTCTGCCAGCTCCTCATCTGCCCGGAGACCACAGAGCTGAAAGTAAGCCTTTAGAGCCCCGCCCCTTAAAGCAGTTATCACTGTCCGTTGGCTCTAATAATAAAAATTGGGACTTGTGTTTTGTATATCCTTCTGTGGCATTTGTTTTCATTTCTTTTTTTCCAGTAAATTATTTCTATTGTATTTTATAAAAGTGTCAATCTACAGCAGGCGGGGGGCTGGGCTCTCACCATAGTTAGGGCCACAGTGCTCTAAACCCCTTATTTCCAATATTGTCTCACACAGAAGTGAAAGCACAGAACCAGCCATCTCTGGCCTCTGTGCCCACAGTGTGGCTCAGATATTAGTTGCAAGTGGTTCTCTCCTAAATTCCTAGCTCTGGAACAGTGTCTGCTACCAAGATGCTCACTAGTGAATAAATGGATGACTGAGTGACAAGGAGAGAATTAATGGCAGCTTCCTTGGTACAAAGACATGCGTGTGCATGCTTTCTCCTCGTGGTGTAAGATTTGTGGTCTTGGGTTGAAGATTATGGGCAATGCTTACATTAAAATGTCATCGTTCTCAAGCCTCGAATGTTGTCCGTCTGAAAGCAGGATTGAATATACCTCATGCTCTCACCATCTGAGATTCCGCTTTTTAAAAAATGGCTTCCACATGGTGCACAGCAAAGCCTGATGCTTCAAAATGAGGAAATCTCTTAAGATATTCCTCATTTCTCCTGAGTCAGAACTCCTAGCCTTCGCACCTGGAGCTATAGAAACAGTCAATTGAAGTGGATGCCCTCTCATGCCTTCTCTGCCTACAGGAGTCTACAAATTGCTCACACCTGAGACACAGGAAACAGCCACTCAGTTCCCTACTGACTATTGGTTTGGAGGCGTCATTTAATTTATTGCTTCCTTAGTGTCTCCATCCAAAAAGGTCAAGGGCACTAATGCTTAAGGTGTTTACCTTTTACCTGTCACAATGCTGCATGGGCATCTGAATGCTTGAACAAAGGTACCAGTTTTCTCCCTACCCCCTGATGGAATATGCTTTACCCTTGCTACCTAGAGAGGGTCCATGGACAAGAACGTCAGACCTCTGAGTCAGAATCTGCATTTGGACGGCCTCACCGGGTATATGCATGCACATTAGAGTTGGAGAAGCGTGGCCGGTGCCAGGGTAGCACCAATTGTGGTCCAGGGACAGTCAGCATCAGCATCTCCCGAGCCCGGAGAGATGCAAGTCCCTGCACCTCACTCCACTCTGGGCTGGTGCCAAGGAAGCCTTGCTCTAACCAGCCTCCCAGGTGA